TAATGAATTTGCTAGGTTGCTTCACAGCATGCCCAGAAACACTTCTGTTTAACGTTTATCCTATCAATGAGGGGCATTATAAAGCACCTAGATGAACAGCAGGTGTGGAGCTGGGGTGTGCCGCACCACCAGACGCACAGGTGTGTGCCAATCTGGAAGTACCCCAAACCCTGCAGGATTTTTATGGATGCCCTACCACGCTGGCATGATTGATGATTAACTCAGTCTTCAGCTTCTTTGCCCCACTCAGGATGGGGGTTGGGGAGGGGCTGAAAGTCCCAAGCTTCTGATTATGGTTTCATCTTTCTGGTGCCCAGCCCTCGTGTAGGAGCCCGAGCCCCTTCACAAGAACAAAAGCTGCCCCTATCAACAAGGAAATTAGGAGTTCTGTGTCAGGAACTCGGGCCAAAGAAAATACTATAAGATTCTCCTGGCACGCCTATCTGTGAAGGAACTAAGGCAGGTACGCAGACACAGGTATTCCCTGACGACCCACACGAGGGGCAGGGTTCGAGGGGCTATTATCTGATGGTACAGTTCTAGTGTGGGCTGATGGCATCGTCCTGGAAATGGGTGGTGGTAGTGGCCAGACAACATTGAATTCATCAAGTACTTGATGCCACTGAACTGGTTAAAAATTGTAAAATTTGTAGTATATATTTTATCATAATGAAAACATAGTTAAAAGAGCTCAAGTTCATCTTTGACACAGAGTTGCCAACTAGTAAAGGTGATACTGGTTACTCTGCAAGAAGCTCTCCAAGTCTGCAGAACCAAAATCTTCAAAAAACAATGGAACAAGAGATTTCCCAAGCTGAGCCAGAGGAATGGGTAATATTTTAAATTTTGGTATTTGACACTTTAAAGTACATTAAAAGCTGGACACACAGCTGTAATTCCAGAACTTGGGAGGCTGAGGCAGGAGGATAGCTGAAAGTTTGAGGCCAGCCTGGCCTAGCTACATAGTGAGACCCTGTCAAAAAAAAAAAAAAAGTGTTGTACATTCAGTACATTTAATTTAGCAGTTAAGAGGTTCTTTATAGTTCTTTGGGAGACAGTACAGTCCCTATTCTTAAAGAATTTATAATCTAGCCAAGGAGACAAAATATATGGGTATAAAACAATCAACTAAATGAAACAGTTAGTGTAGTGCACCTTCTTCCTAGCTTTCTAGCCTTTCATGGTCTGACCCTACTCTACTTTTTTACTACTGCCTAGAGAAAACTGTTCTATAGCTAGGAAGATTTCCTAAGTCTCCACCATAATGATTATAAATAAATAAGGGGATTTTTCTTTCCAAAAGTCAGAAATTGTATCTAAAGACCAGAGGCTGCTTTCCAGGCACTAAGGTGTAAAGAGGTTGCCAACAATCAAGTTGTTTGCATTCAGAGACAGCACAGGGTAGAAATGGGGGGTAGTCTCGAGATATTCTACCAGGGGTCCTCAGGTGAACCTCTAAACTGTCCTGTCCCCACAACTGCAGGAGCCTCAGACAAAATATAACAAAGTTCACAGGGGTCAGGGTAGGCCCTGGATTCGATTCATTATACCACAAAGCAACAATAAACTTAGAATTAGGGTAAGGGAGTTAATTTGGCCTCAGTTTCCTTATTTATAACTACATCATAATCATAAAGCAGTATTTCTAAGCTTTGCAGTTAGATCTATGAAGATTCCAATCCAGCTCTTTGATCTGCAAGTTACTTCAGCTCTCTGCACTTCAGGGTTCTTTCTGTTCTACTAAAAGCTTTTAATAATGTGGTTGTTTTGAGGATTGAATGAGATTCTGCACAAGCTTTGAGCAATACACATATGCAATATATACACATAATATCCTAATTTATACACTTCAATTTTGCCACTCCAGCAGGTTTCGTGCTTTGCTGGCCTTGTTTTAGCTCTTTCTTGCCCCTTCTCAGCTGCATACATTAGTGGGCATAATTATTTAGCTGATTATTTAATTTAAAAAATTTTGGGGTAACTATCCTATTGTAGAAGTATCATAATTGTAAGACAAAAATCACCCAGAATCACTACATCCAGAGACTTCCACTTTTAACAGTGGACTGTATACTATTTTGGAGTTTAAAAATGTATACACACATATAAACATTAGTTCACAAAATTAGATACTAAACTCTATTTTGTCATGTGCTTTTTTTCTTCTTGAACATATTAGAATGTAAGCTCCATCTGACAATAAATCTAATGATTTTGCTCAGCATGGCAATTCCAGCACCTGGCTTAGTATATGGCTCATAGCAGATACTTAAAAGACAAGCAACTACAATCAAAGAACAAAATGGAATAAATGACTTTCCACAAAAATCACTAATCACAACATTCTTCCACATGAGTGTGTCACAGTTTCCACAACTAAGCTCTATCTTGGAAACTTGTTTCCAGTGTATCTCTCTTCGCAAATATATTTGAAAAGGTATTTGAAAACCTTTTACTGGTGCTTTTGAAAGAGGCACAAAGAATAATGTAGCCCACATTAAAGAACTCAATTGCCCAGAATCAACAACTTTTAAGATTATGACAGTTTTGCCTCCATTTTTAAATAAAAGAAAGCAAGCACTGTAGATAAAGTTGAAGTCTTCATTTTTCTCTCCTGTCTGTTTTCCCTCCTCCATTCTATAGATACAGCAGCTGTCATAAATTTGGTGTGTGCTCTTCCAGTGCATGTCTATGCTTATGTAAAGTATGTGATCAGCATAGGATCTGTGGGATTATATTTAAAAATACGGTATCATAGTGTATATATAGTTCTTCAACTTGTGTTTTTTAATTCCGCATTGCTATTGAATTCTGTCTGCACTTATTGACAAGTACTAAGCTAGTCTATTCAGCTACTGTAAATCTTTTTTTTCAATTTAGCTACAGTACATATTCTGTCATTTGAATACCAGCTTTTATTTTACGACTCTAATCTTGGGCATTTGGGTTGATTCTTGTATTTCACTTACGTAAACAATGCTATAATGGTTAATGTAACTGCAGAATTTTTATTAGTTATTTTAGTCACAAATTTTAAAGTCCATTTCTATTAGCTTTTATCAGTGAGACAGAGTACCTGAGAAAATGTGAAAGGAGCAGATTTATTTTGCCTCTCAGTTTCAGTCCATGGCTATCTGTTGTTTTGGGGCTCCAGAAGCCAGAACAGCATGGTTGGGAGCTCATAGCCGCCAGGAAGAGAAAGAAGGAAGGGCCAGGCTCCCAACATCCTCTGCAGGGTGTGCCCCAAAGTCCTAACTTCCTCCCACCAGGCCACACCTCCAAATATTCCACCACTCCCAGTAGGGCCACAGGCTAGGAACCAGGTCTTTAATATATGGGCTGTTGGGGGATACTGAAATCCAAATCGTAACACCATTAAATCTCTTTTACTATGTAGTATTTTTTATTTTACCAAAGTTAAAAAAAAAAATGTTTATATATTTGAAGACAGACAGGGGAGGTCCTTTAATCTACACAGAGGAGGTCTGGCAGCCAGACCTGTGGCTTGGGGTTGGGGTGCAGAAAGCAGTCAGTGTAAGAGTGAAAAGGTACCCGGGTGGACGCAACTGGAGCTCAGGTTTCACAGCATATTGTTTGGAGACTTTGCTCCAATGTCGCACAAGATGTCTGGGGGGCCACACAGGACAAGATGGACCGATGAAATGAATTCCAAATTGCAAGACTATGGTTTGGTTATGGGAGCTGAAAATACAGTGAAATCAGGACCGCGGGTTTAGCTCAGTGGTACCGCTCCTGCCTCGAAAGCACAAGGTCCTGAGTTCGATCCTTAGTACCGGGAAAAAAAATACAGAGAAATCATGACAGAAGTCAGAAGAATCCCTGGAAGAACCAAGGCTTTGCGGGAATTACTGCGAGGACAGAGGGCTTCGTGGAGACTGAACGCTCGAAGTAGTTAAAATAGTCCTGACTGTAGGGGTGCAGCTCAGTGGTGTGGCTCGATAGTAAAGCTGGTGCCTAGCATGCACGAGCCTGTGGGTTCAATCCCCAGCACCGAAAGAAAAACAAAAAACCCCAGCTAGGACAAAATGACCTTCATTACTGTTTCTTCTGAGATTAAAATTTAGAATGTCACAAGTTTGCCACGCAGAGCGTAGGCAGTGAAAGGAAGGAGGATCTATTAGGCGAGCCAGAAGTAGATTCAGAACTTAGCTTGCAGTCTGTCATTTCTGCGTGGCCTCCCTGCAGTCCCTGCTCAAGTCCGTGTACTGCCTTCGCCAATGGGGAGGTGACAACGAAGTGGCTGGAGGCAGACATCAGTCTCACCTATTGATATACATTACTGTTCTGTCCTACACACCACAAAATGCTTTTCATAAATAAAAAAAAGTTTATGGGAGGGACTGATTAAATTACATCATAGGCCTTTCGGATAAACTTTTAAAAATCTATCATCTGTCTATCTAGAGATTGAACCCGGGGCCGTTGCACTGAGCTACATTCCCAGTCTTATTTTTTGAGACAGGGTCTCGCTAAATTTCCTAGACTGGACTTGAATTTAGGATCGTCCTGCCTCAGCCTTCCAAAGTGCTGAGATTACAGGACTGTGCCAACTTGGACGATCCTTAAATGCTCTTATTTATTACTTGCTTCTATGGTCCCAAAAGAGATCTGTGCTTACAGCTGGCACTACCGGCCTCATAAATTCCTTCCTTTACAGATGTTGGCTTGAAACGCTTAAGAAAATGGGGGCCTGAACGGCAGCCCCCAACTTTTACCCCGGCACAGGGGAAGTACACTCCCGCCGCGGGGCGGTGACACGCGCGGCCGGGCAGGTGGCCGGCGGCCGAGGCAGGAAGCACGGCGGGGCGGCGGGCGCGGCCCTGGCCCGGCTGGAATGCGGCAGGCGTGACGCGCGGTCACGTGACGCCCGTGGAATGCCAACAATGTAGCGAATGTCCCACTTGGGCCGCGCTCGGAGCCGCGCGCGAGGGCCCGGGAAGATGGAGCCGTCGCCGCGCGCGCCGCCCGGGGCGCCCCCGAGCCCGCGGAGCCCGCGGAGCCCGCAGCAGCTCCCGCCACCGGCGCCCGGTGCGGCGCGCGAGGTCCCGGAGCTGCGGGCCAGGACGCCCCCGCGGGTGTAGACCGCGCCCAGGAGGTGAGCGGGCCGGGCGGAAGTCTCTGGGACCAGGGGCTCCGCGGGCCGGCTGCGAGGGGAGCTTCGCCCGGCCCGCCCCACACGCTCCCCGCTCTCTCCCGCCCGCCGGCGCGAGTCGTTGGCGTCGCGGCCCGGGGGTGGGGGAGCGCGTCCGGGTTGGCGGGGCGCGCGGGGGGCGCTTTGTTGCCGGCGGGGCGGGGCGCGGCGGCGTCTGGACGCGGGGTGGCGGGCGGCTCGAACCCCACGCCGGGGCGCCGTCGCGGCGGGTGCGCCCGGGGCCGTTGCGTAACGCGCCATCTGCGCCCTGCTACCCGGCTTCCCCGGGACTAGCCCTCCCTCCCGCGGCTTCCTGCAGGGCGGACTTGGGGACGGGGACGGGCAGGGGCAGCGGCCGGCCTGGGGCGGCCCTTGTGCCACTCGTGCGGGGTCCACGCCGCCGCCAGTGGCTGGGCCGGGGGGACGCGACCCCAGGAAGGCCGGGCTCACCTGCCGGGGTGCCCGCGACAGGGGAAGACTGTCCTGCCTGCCCGCAGCCCGGCGAGGCCCTCGGTGGAAAGAAACTTTTGCAAACATCGCGGCGAAAGAACTTGATTTGTAGATTTTGTTGACAGAAAGTTTGAACGAGAATGTTTACATTTTCGCTGTTCCTACCGTGTATCTAGGGTTCAGAAATCTGTTTAACCTTAACTAGCCAGCCAAGATTGGTTTTGCTAGATTAAACAAAATAATAAAGGAAAAATAAAAATTTATAGTCCAACGGCTCTGTTCACAAAGTATTCAGGGAATATATACTTTTTAAAGGCAAAGTTGCCTACATCTATAAAGAAGTTTAAATATACTGAAATTCAAGTGGAAAGTCACAAACTGATCTACAGGTGTTCTGCTTAACATTTTAACTTAGAAAATGAGGAGTCTTCCCTTGGTTATGGAAAAACTAACTTGTGGCTGTTTATTAGGAAATCTGTACTAGATAGACCTTGCTCCATGTTTTTAGTTTGAATCTGAGTGGTGGTCACCGTTTTTAAGTGCTAAATCAAGAGACTAAGCTTTTCTTTAGCAGCTGGTTAATACAGTAGTAACAAAAACCTTCCTAAATAAGAATGGAGGGACTGTTTAGAAAGCCTGTTTTAAATTAACCATAATTAACAAGACATTATGGTATTCACCCTCCCATAAAATTTTCTCATCCGTGTATAGAAAGCACTGTTGAATGAATCCACCAATGTTCTTTGCGACTAAATTGCTGAACATTTAATGCACTTCAAAATGTCAAGCAGTTTAAATTGATATCTGAACAGAGGCTGTCAGGCAACATTATGAAGGCAAATTACTAGAATCATGGGACTGTGGAACTGTAAGGGATCCTTCTAATCATCTAGTTTGAAAGTTTGATAACTGTAAACTGCAGCTGTGTTTCTTCCGTTAGCAAATCACAGCGTTGTGGGAGGGACTTTCCTTTGGTGGGCGGGGAATGTTTTTACAATAAGATGCCTTGTTAAGTGCTGTGTTGTCTCTAGCCTGCCCTGGACTCCTAAAACCCACAGGTGGGTGGGTTAGGGATGAAGCTGATAAATTCACCCTAACCATACGAAAAGGATTTGGGAAGCTTTGGGGGTGAACTGGGAGGTAGTGGTGTTCTGTTTTGTTGTTTAATTTTTTTTTTTTTTTTTTTTTTTTGGTACCGGGGATCGAACTCAGGTCCTTGCACTTGCGCATCAGGCGGCAAAACCACTGAGCTAAATCCCCGGCCCTGTTGTTTAATTTTTATTGGTTCATGTTTGCAGTACATAATGTTTACCTTCATTGTAGGGAATTGGTGCATGTACACAACACATCTCAATTCTTTTTTTTCCTCTTTCCTCTCGCCTGGTGTTGATTTGTATTGGAAAAAAGCAGACCAACTCAACTTTTGAAAAGCTGCTTTTATATTTATGTAACAGAATAATATTAAACTTCTAAACAATATTTCTTACTGATGGTTTAAGGTAGTACTAAGTTTGAAGAAATATGGAAGATAAATTTAATCCATTTACTTAGTCTTGACTAAATCTGTGCTAAAAAGGGGTAAAGTATCCCGATCCTCAGAATGAACGGGTCAAGCTCGATTGAGCCTCTCTCTCTTGTTCCTTTTAAAAGAGCTGATTGCTCGTACTTTCTCTGGACAGACTGGGCCTCCAGATCTTACCCTAGGTGATGTGGCTTTGTGTGAGGGGCTTCTGGGTTTGAAGGCGGTGCTGCTTGGCTACTAAAGTCAGTCACTGGATGTTAGTGGTCCTCACAGTACTTGTAAGGCTAATGTCATTTGATTTGTTGTTTCATAAAGTGATGTTGGAAATAAAAGATAATTGGTGGCGATGCTAAAATTAGGATGGAAATTTGGCATTGGTTAATTCTTGCCATTCACTCTGCAAAGACTTTATGTTGCTTACTGTCTAGACCATGTCAACTTAATTGTGATGAGTGGGGTTTTTTTTTAAGTTAATTAGCAAATTCTTTTTGTTTGTGTACCAATGTTAGGATTTTTTCTGGAGGAAGGAAAAAAATTCATATTTTGTAGTTAGCAGTGGACTGTATTTAACATGTATGTAATACAGATCCTCTGGACCCTGAGTCAGGATGGTAAAGATTTTAAAGAGTTCAGGTTGGGTTTTGAATGGAGCTGTTTGGAATACTGAGCCTTTCTACCTTCAGGCAGTTATCTTGGGCCCGAATGCTAAGAGCTAATTAACTCCATCTTAGCTGCTCGGTTTACTCCTGTTTTTTTTTATTAAATGTCCCCAGCCAGCACCTGCCCCTCCCCAATGTTGTTTGCCAGTTCCTCTTTCTCTTCTATGTTTGAACCTTTTCACAGGAAGTTCCAGACTCCAAGAATAGCTTTATGCTTCCTCCATCACATCATAGCCCTTCAGCCTTTCCAGTTTTGGTGAAACATTGCTTTCTCTAGAAGACTTTCTCCAAATAATATCAACACCTTCCTGAAGAATTGTGCTCTTCTGTAGAAACAGGCACATGCCTGTTATCCGGTCTTGGGATAGTCACAGTATTTCTGACCACTGTCCATAGCATTAATTCTCAGGCGGGGTGGCGCTCCAATTCCCTAGCTGGGTTGTACCTAGAACTTGGAGAGATGGGTGCCAAGGAGGTAGGGACATGTCAAGGACTGAAAAATCCCTGCTGGTATTCAAGAACTGTAAGATACTCATACTGTTGAGCTGCCTACTGTCAGAAATGCCTCAAAGAACTAATAAAATTATCTACAACCTGGTCATTCTGTTGAGCTCTTGAGTACAAATATTTGTGGATCTGTTAATTTTTGCCATTGAGATTTGCATAATATGTATCATGTAGGTAGCAAGTACAAATGTTTAATAGAGAAAGTGGTGAACATGGTAAATGTGGTGGTGTTCTCTTCCCACCTAGACCCTGAGCTTATTTAGATGTGAGATACTGTTTTACCAGGGTGATACCTCTAAGATCCAGTACAGTGCTGAGCCCACTGAGGTCTTGTGATGATGCTGTTGATTGGACAGTGGAATTTCTTCTACAGAGTTTTCCTGAATCTCCAGAAAAATGCAGTTCCTTCTTTCTTCAAAGACCCTCATTATGAGGGGAGCCCTTGGCCTGTGGCTTCCTGGCCTGGACAGTGCTGGAATGGTAATGTCCAAGTGGTGGTTTATGATTCTGACATTTAGCATCTGGCTCGAGGCCTGATCCATCTGCCTAATTTAGTTTGAGCCTTGCTAGTTATAGTAGGGATATGATTTAAATAATAACTGGAGTTTTAAGTCCAAGAAATACTGTTTTAAAAAATGCCAACGTGTCATTAGCATGGGTCCCATGAGACATGGGTTTGGTTGGTTCTATGGTTGGTGCTTGATGTGTGTTTGGCAGCCTGTGTGGGTTTATGAAGCACTAGGAGAAATTAGAATAAAAAATTTTGACCATCTGATAGCATTTTCCAGGATTGGCTTGAGAATTGGAATTGGATTTGGTAGGACCAAATTAAAGGGTTGTGTAAAGTATTGCTCTCACACTGTTTACATAAGCCACCTATGCTAAGCATGGTACTCAGCTCCAGATTTAAGAAGGAATTGCTTTTGTTTTGTGAGTTGTTATAGTTTTTAAATTTCAGTGGTTTTTTGTTGTTTTTTTTGGTACTGGGCATCGAACTCAGGTCCTTGGCACTTGCACAGTAGGCGGCTGTTTTGTAGTTTCTAAAAAGTACATTTCAGTCAATTGGTAATGCCAAAGAAATTTCAAAAATTAGATTTATTTTACTTCATATCCCCATTTTTTAAAGTTCACATCCCTGAGGGTCATATTTATAAAACTTGATGAAAGGAAATCTACCGTATGTAAAATCTTACTAAAATGGTATGGGAGTATGTCAGAGTAGCTCATCTCCAGCTGTAGTCTTTATTTGATCTATAAATATTTTCATGAAAAATTCTTTTAGAAGTTCATAATTTGACCATGAAATCAACTGTCTTCAAATGAAGCTGAAATGAAAAGCGCTGGCCTGAGAAGATACTTCCACTCTCTGTGAACCTGAAGGGAAGTTTCATTCTTTCCAGAGTATTTGGTAAGAACATAGCTGAGTTGGGGTTAGTCCTCAACCCATAGATTTTGTGTTATGGATTGTCTTGAAAAGACCTGGACCAAAGTGGAATATCCTTCGTATCAGTGCTTCTGCAAGACCAAGATAGAAATCAGAAAATGATGCCTTTCCCTCTATGGAGTTCACTGAAGAAAACCAAAGGGTAGATTTTTATGGGGTGTCAGAATCATCCTCTCAGCCTTTCTGTAGATTTGAAATTTTTTATGAGAGATTGTTGATGGGGAAGAAAAAGAGAATAAAAGAAAAACCAAGACTGCTGATCCTGCTGCTGTTTCAGGGCACAGCCCTCTGGTTTTTCTTATTTCATACGTAAACACAATAACAGAAGTGTGCTGGCGCTGGTCTTGCCTGCCCCCAGTGATCTTAGGAGCCGAATGTTGGT